GACAATAGGTTCTAAACATTCCCGCATATCTGAAATACCTGGGATGTCTTTACAAACTACTGATGCCTGGCTCCCACCTGTGCATGCAGATACCATTGGCATGGGGTGGGGGGTGGGGTAAGATCCGGGGATTTTCAAAAATTCCACTTGCAACTCTGATGCTCAGCAACATTGGAATGCCACCTCCTTAGGATTTTGATTAAACCGCCAATCACACTAGTGGTGGGCAAGGAAAAATATCATTCAGTATTGGCTGGACATTTTAAATTTCCATTAAATAATAAAACTGCTAAATAATAAAATTTAATAAAATAATTAAATAATAAACGTTGTTCACGGCAGCACATAAAACACACACAGTGTTATTGTCATATAATTAATGGACCATACAATTCAATAGTAAAAAGAGTCGTGGGATCGTCATCACCTTTAATTCTAGGACATTTCATTCGTGGACTCATCATTAGCGTCCTGTCATACCCTTAAGCCTCCCCTGTCATACCGTATGGAATTATTTATTTAGTTATTTTCTCTATAGAGTAAAGTACCTGGATTTCATATCAAGGAGACCTAGTGGCTGCGTGGGTTACGCTTTGGGGCTGCTAACCACGAGTGGGTGTTTGAAACCACTCACGAACTGTTCCTTGGGAGAAAGAAGAAGCTTCCTACTTCTGCACAGAGTTTGTTTGGATGCCCGCAGGGGCAGTTCTGCCCTGCTCTGGAGAGCAGCTAGGAAGAGTCAGAATCCATTCAATGGCAATGAATTGGTGTTTTGGATTTCATATCAAGAAAATCATACAAAAACCTCAACAGCAAAATGAAACAGAAAAACCTCAGTCTAAGAGAAAGCAGCAGACAGCAGAAACTAGAACAAATTAAAAAGGGGTCAATAGGGAAAGCAAATGAAAATATATTAATTTTAACCAACTATCTCTGGAGCAGCCTTTGTGGTGTAGTGGTGACGGATCGGACTGCAGTCTGCAGTTTGAAGCCACCAGCCACTCTGGGGGAGGAGAACGGGACTGCCAATTCTGATGGAGTTGCAGTCTTGGAAGCTCAGAGGGGCAGCTCTACCCTGTCCTATATGGGCCAAGAGTTGCAATGGACTCGATGGCCAGAGACTGTCCTGTAGTTTTAGCTGCAGTAATGCACTTCCAGATGCACTCAGTCTGAGGGCAAGGCCACCCACATCTCGGTCATCGGTACCAGGGAAATTCAAGGGGGGATTAATTGGCAAATGGATTTGGGATTTACATTGCCATCCATAGTCTTTCAAGGCAGCACTTTTCAGTCTGGTTGAAGACAACGAGAGTCCATCAATCGGTGAGTGGACACGCAAGACATGGCCTGTGCACCCATCGGACCATTGTGTAGCCACAAAGAGAGAGCCACATTGCTCTCTTAAAGAGGGGCTGATGGGCTCGAACTTCTCCCCTTTGGGTTCAGGGCTTTATTATTGTGCCTCCAGTGCTCATAATTGAACGAAATAAGTTGCAAAAGGACAAATATAATCGCACTTACATGAAATAAGCAAATATGTAGAGACCAAAGAGAGGTAACTATATAGCTAGCAGGGCTGGAAGAAAGGGAGAAGACTTAGGGGCCCTGTGTGGCTGTGAATGGTGAGGGAAGGAATCATTTGGAAAAGGACAACAAGACCGATTGGATAGCTTGAGCAGTGTAACTGATAGCAGCATGTAGATATTGTACACACGTAGAAATTGTGGACCTGGCTTAGAATTGGTTGTGTGTGTTTTTGCCACAATCATAAACATAGCCTATAGCCATTTGGAGCTCTAGTGGTGCAGGGAGGAGTTCAGCACTCACCTTATCTGAAAGGTCTGCAGTTCGAACCCACCAGCCTACCCTAAGGGAGAAAACCGTGGCAGTCTGCTTCTGTCAATATTTACACTGTCCGAGAAACCCCTATGGGGCAGTTCTACTGTCCTATAGGGTCACTAGGAATCAGAATTGATTCAATGAATTTTGTTTGTGTGTTTTTATTAGAACTGACAAAATCTAGCGTTTAGAGAATATGTGACCGAGCCTGGAACAAGCCTTTCTTTGCAAAACGCAAGTGTCTCACCTAACGAGTTACACATCGGAGAGTCAAACAAATGGGAATCAAACCAGATTGAGAAATACTTTTCATCTGCACACACACACACACACACACATGCACGCACGCACGCACACACCCCGCCCCATAACAGGCAAGAAAGGTTCTTGAGAACAAATCCTGAGGGAGTGGATGGTAAAATGTTTGGGAGAAGGAAGCCCATAGAAACCTTTTGCTGCGTTTACTACCAGGTAAAGGAAGACCACCAGGAGCCCTAGGAGCCTGGTGAGTGCCTTCCTTGATGCTCGGCTGGCCTCTCTGGTGATCTTATCTCTCAAGAAAGAATTTGGAGGAGAGCTGGTTTAGCTGAGATGACCATCTTGCCATCGATTCCTTTGGAGGCTGCCAGAGACCCGAAGGAGGGCCATAAAAGGAACCACACATAACCAGGTCTGGGAGAGATCAAAGGAGTAGATTGGGACAGGGTGGAGTCTGAGGCATGCAAGGACAAAAGAATACAACATACCTCCCACTCCCC